ACTTTTTATATTATATTATGTTATGTTATATTATATTATTATATTTTCACATATGCTCCCATATCTATTCATATATTCAAAAGAGGGATGGATCCCACATTGAAATTGGTGAAGGAGATCTTCAAGCTATTTTCAAGATCTTTAAAAGTCTAAATAAAAGTGTACTTTGATTCCCTAATAAAGTTGCATACCTAACAATCCTTAAGAACTCTTTGGATTTGGTTGGCATTAAATCAATCCAATGAAATATCACTGGTTATCTAAGGTTGATCAGATATCCAAGTTAAAAGTAATATGTACTAAATGAATACATAAAGGAAAACAAATAACTTTAATAAGTTCAGGGTTGGTTTTTTTTTATGAACAAGCAGAGACTACAGGAAAAGAAAACAAAGGGATATTAAATGAAGAAAAGTTCAAGTGCCATCTTTCATGAAATTACATTCCTTAAGAAAAGAACTGGTGTATCGTAAGATAATCCCAGGGTGCGAGGACAAAGCTGGGACCTCGGGGACACTGGGCCTGAAGTGGTCGGGTCTGGAGAAACTGACAAGTTGGTTAGATCAAAAGGGTGTGGATCTAACCAACCAAGTGTTCAGGGGGGGGCAGCCACCTCAGGCTTGGCTCTGGCTAGCATCCAGACTGAAGCCGTCTTATGGTAGTGAGTTCTATGGCAGGATTCATGGCACCGAGCAGCAGAATTTGTACATGCAATAATGGCAGTTAGAATGGGTGCCAGTATGTCAAATATTCATGGGGGTAAGACCCAAGTCTGGGCAGTATCAGGACTCTGGCTAAATGACCTGGTGTTCAAGACTGGCCTCAACTCCCAGTGGGAACTGGAGAGAAACCCACAGTTGAAACCAAAGCAAATGGAATAAAGCAACACCCTACAGTGGGGGGCAATATGGCTGCTCTGGCACCTGAACGTCAAGGATGACACTTCTGTTAACACCAGGGTGATATTACATGTGGTCAGGACCTAGCAACTGCCCCCGGCTGAGAGTGCCTAGGGAAGAACAGAAATGGATACAAATCTCAAATTTATCTTTTCCCGATTCCCACAATTGTATCTTAGGTCCTTAATTAAGTTATACTAAAATATCACAAACTCTACAAATAAAATGCTATCACTGTTCCCCAAGAACATAACAAGAAGACAACGCATAAAACGCATTATGCGATTCTTAACAAAAAACATTTTTCATTTGTGTGACAAATATTGAATCTGACGTTCACTAAAATATTTTCAGTTCCAAATATACTGAAAGTATTTATCATCGAACCACTCAGAATAAGATAATGTAGAAAGTAAAAGCCACCTTTCAGTTGACTTCTAAATATAATATCACTCAGCTTGTCAATTTTGGTCTCTGAGAGCAGAATCTAAAGATGAATTCATTTTAGTGGTAAACGGTAAAGTGGTAGAATTTTGATCTTGAAATAAAACAAGTATAGTGTATGATTTTAATAATCTCCACATTTTAAAGTTATTTGATACAAGAAAGATCTAGTACAGTAAGAAAAATTCTTCCGTGTCAAAAAAATCTACCAAAATACAGGGAGTATCCTTTGACAACCTCCAAGACCATGCACATGAACAGAATGATCCTATCTCTGTATTAAACAGCCATCCAGTGTGGCCAAATCCACAACGAGCAAAATGCCGCCTTTCCCCCATTGCTCTGCAGAACTCTTAACTGCCTGCTCTACCAAGCGAAGCCAAAGTTAAAAAGCATGAAATAATGAAACAATAAACAGATTGTATTATTTTCTTCCCTGATGAAGTTTATTTTAAACTTCATGTGCAATTTAATCAAATAAGAAGGTTGCATAGGAGAGCAATGGTCAATTTCAGAAAGATTTTTTTTCCCCTCACCTACCTAGCCTGTAATACTACAGATCTATAACAATCATTCTCTATCCTACACTATTATTTTTTATTAAATAACTAGCTTGCAGGGTGAATATGATCATAACTGCAAAACTACTGCAAAAATATTTCACCTGACAATTCTTAAATGTTAAAAGAATCACGTTCTAGAGTTTTTATTGATGTCTTTTATGCTGTACAAATTGCTTTGTATTGAGTGCACTTTAAGAATGGGAACGTGATTGACTTGTCCGTGTCCCATTTCCCACACAGAGGGTCCCGATGGTTTCTGCAGATGTAAGCACACACCATATGTTCTCTCAGCAGAGACCAGGTTACCCCATGGAAGCTCAGAAGTCTTCCTGGGAAGCATTTACTGGGTGCAACCTTAATTAACTAATTCCCCGGGGCGGGGGAGGGGCAAACCTCCTGGGAATCCGATCTAACCTGGTTATATGAAACCTTAGTATCTGAAACGTTTCCCAGATATCAAAAAATAAACTTTACACAAAACACTGTACAAATACAAATTTTATGTTGTGAAATCTTTCGTAAATAGAAATCAAACAGCAATGTTCCTATCGTGCTTTTCAGACCGGCTAACCACTCAGTTTATCACTCTGTACCCCACTGTGGGAAGCACGTGTGCTGTTCCCACCAAATGACACAGATTTCAAAAAGTAAGTATGATTAATTAGATAAGATAAGTGACTGATGTAAAAAGTTCCTTCAGCAAGCTCTCTGTCTGGTCATTTACATGCGATACATGTTACAAAACCCCTTAAAGACAATTTTTGAGAAGTCCAGCTACCTCAGCATAATGAAAGATGTAAAAGAGAAAAAAAAAGGAAAATTAAAGTTAGGGTGCATAATACATCAAGTTAATCTGCAGTGAAGACTGTACCACATGGAAAGCTGCTAGAAGGGAGCACTTATCATTAAACTGTGAACAACCAAAGTGTATACGATAGCAATAATGGTGAACTAGAAAAATACACTTCATTTTTAAAATCGTGTCAGTTGATACAAATATGTAAACACCAGTTTGCTTCACCTCCCCCCTCCCCTGTCTGATTTTTACTTATGGTTATGCATTAACTTCTGAGTGTCTCCTGCCGACAAGACACACTGCTAGGCTTTGGCAACATCAAAATAGCAATCATTACAGTTAGAAGGAGAGACTATGGCACTAACAGAACACCCCACTGAACTGACACCTCTGGGAGATCCTGTCTGCCCTGTCTCTCCTATGGTGCATCTTCTGTGGGTGAGAACAAGTGGTTATTTCTGCTCCTCATGGCTGTGAACTGGGAACCTCAATCTCAACTGGAAATTGAGGACCCTGTTGTTTCTTATTTGCAATTGTGGGGTTTAGTTAGGGCCTTGTGCTTGCTGCAGGGACTGGGGCGGCTCCGCCTGCTGCTGAGATCCTGGGATTGGAGTTCCGTTGCTCTGTTCCTGTCACCGACCCTGCTCTGCAGTCCTCCCTCTATCTTCTCAGAACCTCCGACCACAGACTCTGCACCACCCCACCACCCCACCCCCCCACCAAGGGACCTGATTTCATGGCAGTTGATGTAGCCTTCTGGAACAGGACACAGCCTCGGCCACATGCTCCCTAAGTCCAAGGCTTAGGCTAGAACCCCATACCCAGTCGGGCTGATCTATCCACGCAGGTCAGCCGGCAGCATGGCACACTCAGGTGTGGGGATGGGGTTTTTTGTTTTGTTTTGTTTTTTGGGTTTTTTTTGTGAGCAAAAAACAAAGCAAAACAAACAAACTCCACAAACACAAACAACAACAACAACAACAACAAAAACGAATAAACACAAACTTCCCAAGAATTGCATTCTAAACATCTTACTTCGAGAACCTAGGCACTGGTCAGTCATGCACCAAATTCCCCCCCACCCCAAATGTCATTTTCCTCCTTTGGAAATTACACTGGTTTCCAGTTGTCTGTACTTCCTAATTTTCTGTAAAGGGGAAATGCTTTCAGAGGAGAAGGCTTTGTCTCAGCTCCTGGGGAGTGACGGCCACTGGTGGGCACCCTGGACTCTCTCTACCTGCTCGCTTATTCCTCTGCTGCGGGGGAGCCGTGAGCATCTGCCCGGTGAGCCGGCATGAGACACCCCTACCTTTGCATTTGGAACAAGGATGGCACAGGCAGCCTGCTCCTGCTCAGGTCCTCTGTGCCCCAAGCCTTAGCGAGGCAGACTCTGCCCCCTGTGGGAGAAAGAGGAAGAACACAGGGACAGGCAGAAACAAGACAAAGGAGTATGGGAAGTGCTACACATTGGCTCTCTGTATCACCAACCGGCTTCTGAGCTTTTAAAAAATCAACACGGAAAAAGAGTTTTGACTGGTTACACAATTCACAGTGCCCACAGGCTAGATCGGTCTCTCAGAGAAATACAACAATTCCTGTAACTCACAGCGGAAGCAAGTTCCCCATAGGATCATTACAAAGGGAGGGACTGTGTCTCAGCAGGGTCCACACGCTAAGACAACGTTGAGTTGAACATCACAGAGCTACTTCTTAACACGCTCTTTTATACTGACCAGTAGTACCGCCTTGGGTCCAGTAAAAGCAATTCTGATTATTTGGAGGGATGGTGGATTAGGAGAATTATAGCGTATCATTCATGCATGTGTATCTCTGATGGTGTGAATTAATCCAGCTGTCAACTTAGAATACTATGAGCAAATGGACTGTATAGCTGCATGTCCTTCAGGGAATTTTCAGGAAGTTTCTGATGGTATTGGGCAGTAAGGAGTTAGTAATTATACACCCTAGACTGTGCTTGGAATGTGGCTTTTCTATCTTGCTAATTTAATAGAGACCCACTGAGCCTTAACGACTAAGCTGAGCCTAAACGACCACGTTGAGGATAATGATGGCGTCCTCTTGGGCAGTCAAGGGGCCCAACAAGGACACACTGGTGTAGAGAGAGCAGCCAGAGGTCCCTGCCCAGCTGCAGGCACAGAGGGTGGGGGGGCATCCGGTGTAGGAGATTGTGAGCCGGCCTTGCTCATGCTGGACGTGAGGTCACAATAGTGCTAACACAGCCCGTGGCCCTGGGCGGATGCAGGTATCCTAGAGTGTGGTCATAGGAGCAGTTCTTACCACAGGCTGCTCTTCCTTTGCAGATTTCTTTGGAGTCTTAACTTTCCTGGTCTTCGCAGTCGAGACACTGATGGCGGGTGAGTGTGGTCTGGAACTTGCTCTAGGTCTGGATGGAGTCCTGGGCTGCGAGGGCCACGTGGACACAGCGGTCTCTTTGGCTTTGACTAGTTTCAGGCTCTGGCACACAAAAAGAAGCAGCTGGGTTAGTCTCACTTTATTCTTCAGACTCGTGTCCCTTTCTTTTCCTCCTGTGAGTTGGCATTGCAGGGTCAGATTTTCAGTCCCAAAGGGCATGGGTCTGGTCTTTTCCCAGTGCGACACTCCCCCTTTTGGTCTGATTTAATGTGTCCACTGGGTCTGTTTTTCCTCCCACTGATGCCACTGTACTAAGAAAAACATACCAACAGATCAGTATTTTCTGGAAGCTCCTGGAAAGGTGGGAGTGGGGTGAGGAGTGAGGTGACATGACAGCTTGAGGTCTGTACCTTATTTGTGGGAAGCTAGGGGAATAGAAGGTAGGAGTGTAGGGCCAGGGATCTGAAGAGATAGGGCATGAGCCTAAGGCTCGGTGTAGCAGGACGCGAGCAGCCAGCTTTGCCTTCTCGTTGGCTTATACCCCTCTCACTGAGCTCAGCCATAGCTCCTGGGCTCCCATCCACACTTTTAAGCATTTTCTCCTTCAAACTCGGATCTTAGAAAGTGAAAAGTCTCAATATGGTATGTATGCCTTTTTCAACCCAGATGTCAAAATGAGACTCACACAGAATAAAAGAAGAAAAAAAGAACTTAAATTTAAATGCAAACCTTGCCACCGAGGCTGTCCAACTTTTTCCTTGTTTCCATGTCCTCCTTCTGTTTATTAATCTGTGAAATTGAAGGTGCACATTATTTGTTATCGTTTGCAAAGATTAAAAAGGAGAATTTTCTATAAAACTTCCTCAAGCAATGGAAGAATAGAATGGTAAACCACTTAACTGCTAACACGATTATGAGAACGTAAGTTATAATGGTGCATATGAATTAGAAGAGGAAATTAATTTGTATCTAAAAAAAGAGCACTTAAAGAGGTGAACAGAAAGAAAGCTGTAACTGTTTAAAGTCATTAGCATTTGCTCATTGTTTTAAGCATAGTAGAAATTATAGAGAAACAGATCGTTTGCTTTTGTGGTAATAATTTGTTTCATATATTATTATGATAGTTATAAATTCCAGGTCTTATAAAAGTTTTGGAGAAATTTCAGATAATTCAATAGCCAGACCTCAATAATATAGTGATGAAATTTTGATTTAAAGAGTCAATTCTAGTTTCCGGGCATAAAAGCCTTTTTATCATATATATAATTGAGACATAATTGACAGAGAACATTATATTAGTTTCAGGTCTACAACATAATAATTCAAAAGTTAAAAAAATAATAATTCAAAAGTTGTATATGTTGCAAAATGATGGCCACAATAAATCTAGTTAACATCCATCACCACACAGTTTTAATTTTTTTCTTGTGATGGGAACTTTTAAGATTTACTCTCTTAGCAACTTTCAAATATATAATACAGTATTATTAACTATGGTCACCGTGTTGTACATTATGTTCCCGTGACTTATTTATTTTATAGCTAGAAATCTGTATCTTTTGACCACCTTCACCCATTTCACCCACTTCCCACCCTACCTCTGGCAACCACCGATCAATTCTCTATAAGTTCATATTTTCATTTTGTTTATATTCCACATGTAAGTGAGATTATACAGTATTTGTCTTTCTCCGACTTCACTTGGTATAATTTCCTTAAGATCCATCTATCTTGTTGCAAGAGGCAAAAAATATATTATTAATGCATGCTTCAATAATATCAAGCTTTTTTTCATCATCTGTATCTGTGACTAATGCCAGGGATTCTAATTCTGGCTAATCTTATGAAATTAAACAATGATGAGATACACCCACAGGTACAACTCTTTTCCAAAATATCTCTCACCTACAGATAGGGCAGGTCTGCCTCATGAAATCTTGAGGTCTGGGGGGACAGTAACTGATGTCCATGAAGCACTGCGTTTAGGAAGAACTGGGCAGGTGTGCTCAGATGAAGGATAATGTGCAAAGCTTCAATTTTACTTTAAATGCAATGGGATACCAATGAATAATTTGAACTCTTGGGCGGGCATGAATGGCACATGATAATATTTATTGTATGAAGTCATAATTTGGGGGGAGTCATGTTTGTGGTCATGGCTGAGTAACTGCTACGAAACCAACCTTCCCACAGATGACAACGATAAGCTCCAGAAAAAATATATTTAAAAAAGTTACCTGAAGACAATGGCTTTTAACTTAGCAGCAATGCCCAGTCTGTCTGTGTGGAACAACTAAAACTATGGTGGAAAACCTGCAGCCTTTCAGGAGTGCTGGAGACACAGTTCAGGGCAACCAGAGCCAGGGAAAGTTCCAAGGCAAGGAAATCCCAAGGAAAGCCAGACTGCAGAGCCCCCAACTTTGTGCATAAATTTTGCCCAAACCCTTAGCAGATGCCTGAATCATGCTTGGCAGTGAAGCTGAGGCTCAAAGATTGAGTTGAGATTTGAGCTTCGATCCACTGCATGCAAGACAGAGGTTGCAGTTTAAATCCAAGTTAATTGCCTGATTTTTTTTTTAAGTAGGCTCCACGCCCATCATGGAGCCAGCACAGGGCTTGAACTCAGCACCCCAAGATCAAGAGTCGGTCGCTTAACTGACTGAGCCCCCCAGGCATCCCTAATTGCCTGATTTTTAAAAATAACACACAGCATTCATAATGCCTGTAAAATGCCAAAATGCTCAACATACAATTGTATGTTGCTGATCTATTCTAGAGCGAAAAGACTCTTAACACAGACTGACAGTGAGACGGTACCTCAAAAATAGTGGAATGAGGTCTCTGAAGTGTGGACAGAATGAAAGAAAAACAAACACTGTTAACTCGGAATTCTGTACTGACAGAAAATATTTTTCAAGATTGAAGTATCTGAAAGAAACAGAAGGATTGCGTCAATAGCAGTCCTGATCTACAAGAAGCATTAAAGGAATCTCCTCAGACTGAAGAAAAATGATCCCAGAGAGAAGCTCCAATATTTAGGAAGGAATGTAGAGCATCAGAAAGGGTCAATATGTAAGACTATTTTGTCTTAATTTCTTTCAAATACATACAACTGTTTAAAGCAAAAACTGTAATATTGACGTAAATATAATATATAAAACAACTTTAATTTGAAGAATGGAGAAATAGATCTATATAAACAAACCTATAATTTCAAGGTTTCTATATTTTACATGAAACAGCCTTAAATTAACTCTAAGTAAACTGTAAAAAGTTAAGGATGTAGATTATAATTGCTAGAGCAACCACTAAAAGATAGGCAAAAAGCCAAAATAATAATAAATAAATTAGGGGCGCCTGGGTGGCTCATTCAGTTGAGCAATTGCCTTCAGCTCAGATCATGATCCTGGAGTCCCAGAATCGAGCCCCACGTCAGACTCCCTGCTTCTCCCTCTCCCTCTGCCCCTGCCCTGCTCCTTCTCTCTTTCTCACTCTCTTTTAAATAAATAAATAATAAAAAAATAAATTAAATTGGAATTCTAAAATATATTAAAAGGACGGCCAAAAAAAAAAAAGAACAATGAAAAACCTGGAGGGGACACAGAGAAAACAAATAATAAAATGGTAGACCTGAATCCAACCCTATCAATAATAACACTGAGTGTTGACAGACGGAACAGTCTAGTTAAAATGCAGAAATAGGCAGAATATATAAAACAGCAAGACCCAATTATTTGCTGTCTATAACACAAGCACTTTAAATATAAATACACAGAGAGGTTGAAAATACGTGTATTGAAAAAAATGCAATGCAAACATAAGAAGGCTGGCAGTACTACATTTATGCCTAACATGTATAGTAGATTTCAGGATCAGAGAATTACTAGAGACAAAGAGGGACATTTTATAATGATAAAAGGGTCAATTCATGGGAAGACATAATAATTATAAATGCAAATGCACCTAATAATAGAGCTTTAAAACGCATAAAGTAAAAATTGGCAAAATTATATATGGAGAAAAATAACACCCCCTCCCAGGAATTGAAAGAAATAAACAGAAAAGTTAAAGACACATAGATGACCTAAAAAACACTATTACTACCTTGATTTAATTGATAACAACTGCATCAACTGCAGAATATAAATTATTTTCAAGTAGATATAGTACAGTCCCATCATAGACTACAGGCTGTTTTGGCCATACAATGACTGCCAACAAATTTATAAAAATTTAAATCATGGGGAGGATGTTCTCTGATCACAATGGAATTAAATTAGAAATCAATAACAAAAAATATATCTAGGAAAATCACTAATATTTATAAATTAAACAACACAGTTCTGAATCACAGGGGAAATCAGAAATTAGAAAATATCCTAAACTGAATGAAATATAGGATACCAAAATGTGTAGGATGCTGCTCAGAGGGAGATTAATAGCTTTAAATGCTCAATTAAAAATAATAAAAAGCCTGAGATCAATGACCTCAAGTTCCACCCTAAGAAGGTAAAAAAAAAAAAAGAGCCTGTAAACAAAAAATAAATAGAGAGGGGAAAAGGACAAAGATCAGGGCTGATATCAATGAAATAAAAAAGGAAAAATAGAGAAAATAGAGCCAAAACGAATTTCTTGAAAGGATCAGCAAAATTAATAACCCCCCAACTAGACTGATCAAGAACATAATTTACTAATGTCAGGAATAAAAAAGGGTTCATTATTTCAGATCCTATAGATATTAGAGGGATAATAAGAGAATGCTATGGAAATCCTCATATCAACAAATACGTAATTAAATAAAGTGAACAAATTGAATAACACAACCTAGCAAAACACAAAATGAAATAAAAAATGTGAATAGCTCTATAGCTATTAAAGAAAAGAAATCCATTATCAAAAACCTTTGCATAAAGAAAACTCTAGGCCCAGATAGTTTCATTGGTGAAGTCTATCAAACATTTAAGAGAGAAATGACAGAA